GGCTCTCAGCTCCGTGCTTTCCCCTTGCCCACACTGCCCGGGGCTCTCAGCTCCATGCTTTCCCCCTGCGCACACTGCCCGGGGCTCTCAGCTCCGTGCTTTCCCCCTGCCCACACTGCCCATAGCTCTCAGCTCCATGCCTTCCCCCTGCCCACACTGCCCATAGCTCTCAGCTCCGTGCTTTCCCCCTGCCCACACTGCCCATAGCTCTCAGCTCCGTGCTTTCCCCCTGCCCACACTGCCCATGGCTCTCAGCTCCATGCCTTCCCCCTGCTCACACTGCCCTCGGCTCTCAGCTCTCTGCTTTCCCCCTGCTCACACTGCCCATGGCTCTCAGCTCCATGCTTTCCCACTGCCCGCACTGCCCAGGGTTCTCAGGTTCTCTCCAGCTCCAAGAATCAGATCTTCTCTATTCAGTCCACAAATTCGGTTATGTGCTACGTGCCAAGCCCAACCTGGGGAGACGGAGGTTGTAGAAGCCGCCGAAGGGCCCCAGACCCCTGGTTTTCCCTGGTCTTCTCTCTCAGGTGGCTGGGCTGGGATTGGACCTGCTCAGGCACAGGCTGGCTGGTTGAGCCGTGCGCTGGACGTTCCGTCCTTCACGTGGAGCTGGTCCACCTAGCTGAGCTGGGCCGAGCCACAGACTCAGTGAATGATTGGTTGATCGACCAATGAAATGGAGAGATCTTGAAAGAGCACATAGAGACAATTGATCCGAGCCTGCTTCACCACTTACTATCCACGTGACTTTGATGACTTAGCTCCTTTGAAGCTCAGTTTCCTCATCTGCAGAGCTAATCATTCCTATCTCACGTGGTTGCAATAACAAAGCAAATGAGATGGCCTGTGGAAATAGCCTTAAAAGTACCCAGCATCCAGACCAGATCACTAAGACAAGGGCCTCCAGCTTTCTGCCCTCACCGTCTGGCCCATCAAAGAGGCTGAGTGGCTTGGACACGGAAACTTTATTTGGGGGGTTGAGCAGTACCCTTTGCCAACCATGACCCCTAGTCCTGTAACGAAAGGGGGGATGAAGAGACCAGGCACAGCAGCCATCATTAGAATAAGAATCATGTCGCCAGCAGAGGCGAGATGCACATAATTAGAAATTAGAAAAAGGTCAGATAGCGTCATTATCAGCTCAATCAGTTGCTGAGTGCCACAGTCAGTTAATTTGGCATCTGTATTTTTACAGCCCCACACACGTAGCCCAACGGACTGTAACTCTTTATCCGGACAGATATACTGCGCAGCTGAGCAGGAACATAAAATGAGAGACCCCAAGCAAATGAGCTGAGATAATTGAGAGATTTATTTTTTATATATGTGTGTGTCAGGGCGGCTTTCCTTTGCCCTTGAATGTTGACTTTCGTAGATGGGACTCTTAGGAGGGTACTCAGGTCCCCCAAAACTCTGGCACTCAGAAGGTCCCATCCCCAGACCTAGAGCCTCGCTCGGGTCCTTCTAGGTCCTAAGCCCCGTAAGCCTGCAGTCTCCAGCCATACCGAGCTCACCATTCAGAGATGTGTCTCCCCACCCCAGCTTGTCACCCTCCTCTCCCCCAAGCAAATTGCTGTGTCATACCCTCCCGTGTTCCTGCTTCCAGACAAGTTCCCATAGGGACAGCTAAGCTCTCCCGGAGCTGCCCCAAAGATTCCTAGATTGTAGACATTTCCGTGGAAACTCCTTTCCTCAGGTTATACAGCGCCCCTACTGGAGGAGACACAGAATCACAGGGAATTGATGTTTCCATGTGCTGCCGAATTGATTCCAGCTCACGGTGGCCCACTAGGGCAGAGCAGAACTGCCCCATAGGGTTTCCTAGGATGTAATCTTTACAGGAGCAGATCACCAGGTCTTTTCTCCTGTGGAGCGGCTGGAGGGTTCGAACCGCTGAGCTGTCAGTTAGCTGTCAAGCGCTTACCCATTGCCCCCCCAGGGCCCCTCACAGAAAGTCGGGGAAGGGGATACAAACTTAGAGGGAAACAGGAGTCCCTGGGTGGTGCAAACAGTTAACGCGCTCGGCTGCTGACTGAAAGGCTGGAGGGTCGAGTCCACCCAGAGGCACCTCAGAAGAAAAGCCTGGCAGTCTGCTTCCCAAAAAGCAGCCATTGAAAACCCTATGGAGCACAGTTCTATTCGGACACGCATGAGGTCATGGTGAGTCAGAATTTGTTTTTTTTTTTTTAAGAGAGAAACAAGTCTCATTTTATGGATGGGGAAATCGATGTCCAGAAAGGAGAAGGACCAGAACCCAGGTCGCCTGACTCCTAGATTGTACTCCTGTTGTGACGTCACACCACCTATTCCTCCTTCTGTGACGTCACACCACGCCCTCATTTAAACACAACACCACAG